AAAATGGTTGAGAATACTGCATTCAAACTGTTTGAAGTATGGTGGGATGAAAAGAAGTCAGAGAAAAGTCAAAATCAAGGAGGGGATAATACTATTGTTAATAACAGTAATAAAGAAGAAGTACAAAAACCTCAAGGAATATCGCTACTTTTAGAACAAGCAACTCCACTTGGATTTAATTATGATGGATTTGGTTTGGGCATTAGAGCTAGTATGCCAAAGATGCCTTCTTTCAGGGTAAAATCATTGTTCTTTTCACATGCAATCTCATCACAAGACGAAGATAGTCGTCAGTTTGACCATGGAGATACGGAACTTGTAGGAAGCGATAGCGATCTTGACTTAGCATCGGTGCAAAAAGTTAAAAGGCCAATTACTTCTCTTCCAAGTGTTTCTTCGTCCTCTTCTTCATCATCGTCATCGAGTGAGAGTAGTAGCGAGGAAATGAGTTGCAGTGAATCTTCCAGTAGTTCAAGTGATAGTTCCGATGAAGAAATATGTTCTGGAAACTTTGAAGATGAGGTATGCGATTTACTAAGAAATATTAATAATGGCAACTATTATCATAGCTATTCATGTGTTTTCATAAAAATAATTCTTATTTTCAGCAAGATACAGACAGCCGAATGTCAGACCATCGCCCTCTGGCTTGTAATAGTGAAGATCCTGAAATTTTAACAGAACTTGCGATTCAAAGATCATTGGATTGTCCAACTCCTACTGGTAGAGAAACACCAATACCTAATATTAAAATAAAAGATGTAAATTCGAATGAATTCCCACAATGTGATAATGAAACTAGCCCCATACCATCTCCACTAAGATATGAAAGTGATAAAGAAGAAGGTGAAAAGGCAAACGAACAATCTATCAATGAAGAATGTCTTGAAAAAATTAGGACAATTAATGAAGATATAGAGGCAAAGAGTGTGGAAGATGAGACCCAAAAGAAAGTGAAAGGTACTTTGGTAGTACCTGGTAAACAAGAATCATGTGATATGCAAAAAATGGAAAATTCTGCAGCGGAAGCTTTAATAACGCTAGCTGGTCAAGATAATATTATACGACATAGAAGTCCGGGACCTGTACAACCAAATATTATTAGAGCTCTTCAAACTATGTCTGCTAAGTACATTAACGATGAACCCATATTAAAAGAATCAGAAAAGATTGAAATGTTTAGTGAGATACCTACTACTGACTCAGAGGAAGAAAGCTTAGAAATTAGAAGATTAAGGTTCGTATTAATCGTATTTTATGCATATCATGCATGTAAATGTAATAAAAACTAAATATATATTATTCATATGTATTGTTTTATGTTACTAATTAACATAAATGATTATATTTTTTTTTATCATTTAGGTATCAAGCTGAAGCTGATCTCCGACTGAATGGTCAACAAAGTCCAAAAAATTCTCAAGCTTCGCAAGTGTTCATGGAACATTCATATTCACTGCCACCAGTACAATCAGAAATTGCAAAATCTGTACTTCGTGCACCTCCGGCACCAATAAAACCTGTAAAAATAAAATCTTCAAAAATTATGAAATTATCCAAAGCTAAAGATAAAATACATAAAGTTGAAAAGCGAAAATATAATAAGTATAGCAAGATACACGATCATCAGAATCATGAAGGAGAAAAAGAAAATATCGAAAATGAATATGTTTATAAAAAATATCCGAAAAAAGTTGAAGAACCAGCGATCGCATACAATGAACGTGATCTTATGTCAGAAATGGCTATTTTGTATGAATTTTTAACCAGAGGAATAGATGCGGAGGATGTGGAATATTTAAGACGAAGTTACGAGGCTTTATTGGCCGATGATAGCCAAGGCTATTGGTTAAATGATACGCATTGGGTTGATCATCCTCCAACAGATATTCCAAGCCCTGCAAAACGAAGAAAGAGAGATGAGCTTAGATTACATGCAAGTGGAAGTGCGAGAACGGAAGGATACTATAAAGTTGACATACGAGAAAAGGCTAAGCATAAGGTATGATTATTTTAATTTTAATACTTCATAGACTTTTTCTTTTACTATAAGAAGTAATTATAAAGTATGCTTTAACATATAATATTTAAGTAGAACATTATTTACTTTTCGTTAATTTATTAAAATTATTTTTTTATAGCATCACTATGCGCAAAGTATACAGCGAAGTCATGATGTTGAGGACAGTAATGGTCCTTATGCTGGTGGCGATGGAACAATGAATGGTCCAAAGAACAATAGTAAAGCTTTAACTGGTAAAATGCAAGCTCTATCTCGTGAAGCCCGAAGTAATCAACGTCGATTATTAACGGCCTTCGGTATTGACACTGACAGCGATCTTCTTAAGTTTAATCAGTTGAAAGTAAGATTTCAATTATTTTATTTAATTCTTTGTTTCACATCATTTTAATCGTTACGAAATATTTTTTCACGTTTATTTCATCTTGCAGTTTAGGAAAAAACAATTGAAATTTGCTAAATCTGGTATACACGATTGGGGTTTATTTGCCATGGAACCAATAGCAGCTGATGAAATGGTTATCGAATATGTTGGTCAAATGGTTAGGCCAGTTGTTGCTGATTTACGAGAGTCTCAATATGAAGCTACCGGTATCGGTAGTTCTTATCTTTTCCGCATTGATTTAGATACAATAATTGATGCAACGAAATGTGGAAATTTAGCACGGTTTATTAATCATAGCTGCAATGTGAGTATTGGAATAATGTTTGTACCTTCAATAGAATTTCATCTGTATATAATGAATTTTTACAAAATTAAATATTACTAATACAATCTCAATTATATTGTTGATTCTTTTCGTTCTTTCAGCCGAATTGTTATGCAAAAGTAATCACAATCGAAAGCCAAAAGAAAATTGTAATCTATAGTAAACAACCGATAGGAGTTAATGAGGAAATTACATATGATTATAAATTTCCATTGGAAGATGATAAAATCCCTTGCCTATGTGGAGCTCCTCAATGCCGGGGTACCCTGAATTGAATCGTTCATAAAACTATATTGTTCATCCCTTTTTCCTGTCTTCTACACTTCATCATACCCCACTCATATTTTTGTAAATATTTCCCCATGTAAACATTTTATAAAATGCAATGGAAAAATGCTAAATTATGTTAATATGTGCTCCTTTTCTTTTTCTAACATCCTTCCCGCAATTATGATACATTTAATACCTAAATGAAATTGCAAGTCGTTACGATATTTATAGTTTACAATTGTTTTTGTACATACGTAACATAAGATTTTATTCTTATTATGTTTCTGTTAAAAATAAAATAATAGTTTATTATAAGCTCACATGTTGATCGATATGAAGAGAGTTTCCAAAAAAAATTCCATTTTGTTAAAATATTTAAGTATGTATGCTTAAACTTAGGGACTTTTTATATTGGTCGTGCGCAATGACGTGAAGTATAGCAAGTAATATATTCAGTTTATAGTGTGCATTAACAACTGATATGTCACTCTGTATATCACTTTGATATTACCTCATATTTTGATATCTCGTATTAAAAAAAAAAGTTAATTATGTAGGTTATACCATTAAAAAATGAGCATAGAAATACTATATTAGAAAGAATATAATTGTAATTACTTAATGTCTGAAATAAGTGGTTACATAGCACATTTATTGATCCAAATTGTAATGATAATAATGACAACATGCTAACCAACATTCTAAACGTAACAGGCGAGATTTTAAGGTTGGAGTTAGTTAATTTGAATACGATATAAAATTCAATTTCTCCAGTAATTAACTTATTACGTTTCATAGTAAAAAGCTGAGTATTATAAATGATTACAGTAATGTTACATATGGAACAGTGTTATTAATTATATTGTAAGTGTAATATAGTTATAAAGGTTATATTCGAAGAATATGGCAGATCGTTTAACACAATTGCAAGATACTATAAATCAGGTAATTGTTTATATCTTTATATAAATTTATATTAAAATGTCATTATTAACAAATATAATAAGTTAATTATATTTATCATTTTAGCAAGCTGAGCATTTTTGTAATAGTGTAGGTATTTTACAACAATATTCAACACCTAGTAAATTTCCTGGTTTTGATCGTGTTGGAACACCACAGCCACATCAACCTCAAGAAGGTATTTTTATATGTAAATCATGTTTTTTCATTTTATGTTACTAAATATATTATTTTTATATAAACAATACTTGTGATTTAGATTATGCAGCCTTATTTGCAACACTTATAGCAAGATGTGCCAAAGATATTGATACCCTGATAGAAAGTTTGCCAAGTGAAGAATCATCACAAGAACTACAAGTTGCAAGTCTTAATCGTCTTGAAAAAGAAAATCAAGAAGCTGGTGAACAATTAGAAGAAGTCGTAAAGCAAGGAGAAGCACTTTTACAAAGGATTCAAGCTGCTTTACAAGATATTGCTCAAAGTCAACTAGATATGCAAGATCCTGCATCCACATCTGTAATTAACATTGATCTTAACACTAATTCAACTTTCAAACAAGAAAATGTGAATTCTGTAAATACTGTATCTTCAAATAGCACACATCAATTGTCAGATCCCTCGCCTAATTCTGTAAATCAATAATACATTTTTACTATACCTCAATTTTTGAAAAGTTTATAATAAAATGAATTTTACTGACGCTGTATGCATTATGTTACAATATTAATATTTTATCTTGTGAAATATTTTGTACTTATAGATTAAATAATACACATTTAAAGTTCAGTTGTATGTAAATGTTGTATTTAATCATTTACAGAGTTTAAATTGATATATCTACAATTTTATTAAATATAAAAGATATTGATTTTTCACTTATACTGCTTCTTAAGAAGATTTATAAACGTTTCTCGCGGTACACAAATTTTTGCAGCCATTTTCATCTTTTTCTTTCCATGTGCTTGTTGAGCTAATAGTTTCATTCTTCTAGTAATATCACCACCATACTAAAATACAGAAAAATAATAATGGAAATATATGAAAACATATAATATATCGAATACATGATGTAAGACAAAAAACCTTACCAATTTTGCAGTTACATTTTTTTTATAGGGTTTTAAAGTTTCTCTTGCAATCACTTTTCCTTTGACAACAGCTTGAATTACTATTTCAAATAATTGACGTGGAAGAATATCTACTAATTTTGCACATATTTGCCTGCTTATTGTACAAACTTTGCTAGTATGTACAATGGCACTAAATTCTTCCACTATATTACCATTCAAGGCAACATTTAACTACAACATGCAGTTATTAATACATTAAAACTATATAATACATAATTTGAACATATAATTATAAAATATAATAATTATAAAATAATTATAATTACCTTTACTATATTTGTTGGTTCATAATCATAGTCTTCATAATCAAAAGTGCCATATCCTGAGGTTATACATTTCAGTGTATCATGAAGATCAATAATAATTTCATTTAATGGTAGTATGTATTGAAACAATACTCTGTTATTACCAGCATCTTTTGTTAACTGTTGTACTCCTCGTTTCTCAAGACACAAAGAGACTATT